GGAAGGAAGAGGGAGAGAGAAACGTGATTGGCTGCCTCCTATGCGTCCCCTACTGGGGATTGAGCCTGCAACCCAGGCATGTGCCCTGACCAGGAATCGAATCAGCAACCTCTCGGTGTACGGGAGGATGCCACACCGGCCAGGGCAAGAGATGCAGCTCTTTAACATGTTGAACACACATTCGTTATCTCTTAACTAAGGGTCATTAGGATCAATAACAAGTTATCTTATGGAGGAAATACAATAGGACCACATAAGGAAGGAAATTGGAAGTAACTAATCTCATTTGGTTAATCTATTCTGCTGTGATCAGGCAGCATTAAAGTGGGTTTAGAAACCATAAAACCCCATCCTTCATGAGATGAAGGCAGTGAAAAAGGAGCTTTGACCAGACAGTCCACTCTTGGTCATTTTGACTTTAAAGCCATCTTTTTGGAGGTGATATTGTATCAGGTAATCTGTTACTTATTAGGCAGGCAGTTACCTCTACATTGTGAGGTGCACCTGGGGTCAGAGGGGTGAGGGCTACAGTGCATTTGGTTGGGAAGACCAGATGCCGAGAAATCAGTGTGTGCAACAGCTCCACCAGGAACTTCGCTCATAAGATGGATTCCAGAAGCATCTTGTTTCCATTCTCCCCCAGTCCTCTTTTTCTCATCTAGCTAGTGGCTGTAATACCCAGATGGAGAGGACAGTCATTGTTTAAGCAGCTGTCTTTTGGCCTGAGGGTTTGGGGGTATGTTGATACTTGTCGGTTACTATGACTTCTTTTTTTTCCCCCCTCAATTGCATCAAACCCTTAAAACATGGTGGTAAGTGAGCGATATGCATGCTTTTGGAGTTTGTTTAATCTCCGCTTCAGTCTATACAGTGCATAGTTCATAATGTTAACACTTTTCTTCAAGTTTACTTCATTCACTTTCACAACTAACTTGGATTTCAGTTTGCTGTTTAAATCCTCATTTACTTTGATTTTTGTACCTTTTTTTTGTAGTTCTGTTTTTCCCCCCTCTCCTGATTTCCCTGTGAGGGTCAAGTTGTTTTTTGTCTGACCTGTAAGGGAGAGTGGTGCTGCTGTCAGTCCAGGAACTAGGGGACACGAAGCTGTTTGTAAATGTGAAAGTGGATTTGGGGAGAGAGATGATGGGGCTCGTGAGATTTAGACACGACTGTGAACAACAGCTGCTCCCACTCGCAGGCATGGCGGCTACACTAGAGCCACTGTTGCTACAATCCCTACTGCAGCCCTTTGCACGTTATGGACTGGACGTTCCTCAGATGCCAGGGCATATCTTCTGCAAAAGAAAGAAAAGCTGTGGCGTGACTGCTGGGGTTGGTGCTGACAGCGACATGCTTTAAGAAGAATTAGCCTGGCTGTTGCAATTCCCTCTCCCCTGCTTTTTCTTTTAAAGTTGGGATAGATGGAAGGTATTCTTGAATTGCTATCTTGCTTTAGAATTTTGTATTTTTGGGTTCACAGCCAGAGCACTAAAAATATTCTGAGTTTGCTTCTGTGTCTTTTCCTTTAAGTCCCTGAGTGCTTAGTTCTAGCATGTAGCTGAGCTGGCTTGGCCGGGATGCTGAGAGCATTAGGGTGTCAGGTGAGGGAGGATTTAGGCTGGGCTTGTGTGTTAGTACTTGCGTGTCTTTGTATATCTTCACTGCATACACAGCACACAGATGTCGGGGTGTGCTTAAGTCTTAGTTTGTTCTCTGTATCTGTTTGATAGTACTGTTGTCAGTAGTAGAATCCTGTGGACACTGATGTGTCGCTAGCCTGTGGTTTTGGCTAATAAGTTATTGGTATGTGGTTAGTTTTTTGTTTTGTTTTTTAAATCTGTTTTTGCTCCAGTCACTGTGTGTGCTGGCAGTGGCTTTGCCTCTCCGTTGCCTCAAAGGAACAGGTGGAGCAATGTCTCCCTCTGACAGACATTCCTCCTGATGTGTGCTCCTGCGGACGCCTGCACCGAGACTGTGATCTCCATAACTGCTTCATGTGCACCAAGCCCCCTTGTGGAATCCTGCTGAGAGTTTTTCCAGAAGCCTTCAGTGAAACCAAACCATTCTGAATCATTTAATCTATCCGACTTTTGTAAAACTAAGAGCACTTACTTGTTCCTTCCCCTTTGTGGGCCTTTAAAAAAATTCTATGTATGTATAGCCCTGCTTACATGGGATCAAGTTGCCCTTAGTTGAAATAGGGAATAAAAACTTATAAATCAGAATAATAAAGTACCAATTTAAGAAGGCTTCTAAACTCAGATAATGGGAGCTTTAATTAAAAAAATAAAAAGATCTCTGGCTCATCTGGGTTTGGGTTCTGGTTCTGGCCAGGGCACAAGAGTGAGCCATCTGTATCTGAAGTCTTTTCCAGAGGGATGTCACCACTACTCAGCTTCCCTGCTGTGTCACAGAACATCCTCTTGTTGCTACATTTGGCATAGCCCAGCCTGGCTGACCCTGGCTGAACTATTGTGGCTTCCTCTTCCTCAATCTTATTCTCCAGACTACAGACTCAAAACAGCAGGAACAGTGTCCTTTGGGGAAGTGAGGATGTGTGGCTAAATGTATAGAACGTACACATCCATCTACATTGTAGGATTGAGCTAAAATTGTACATGCATTCACCATAAGAAAACAAACAGCAGGATTTTACAACTGAAATGTTGGTTTGTCTTCTCATCTATTTAAGAGTGAACCACTGGAACTTGGGGACAAGATGAGTACAATAACATTGCAGCCTATCTGTCCGCTATAGTTGCAGTTTTTCATGACAAGCATTCAAAGTGTTAACTAAAACCATTGAAACAACATATCTGCCATTAAAAACTTGAATCTAGAAATAATAACTCCATGAGTGTTTTGCACCTCCAGATGGAATGGCCTTGAATAAATGCTATGTTTTTGCCACTTGACGTTTGTTGTTCTATTAATCCATGTGCAATCTCACACTTTTCTCCTTTCTTCTCCTGTCTATCAATGGATTCTAAAAAAACTGAACACCTGTGTAGATGACGAACCAGCTGGGCCAATGTAAGTACTTTATTGGGCATTGAGTGACTAGCATCAGATTGAATTATTTTGCATTCATGTTTTAATCGGTGGAGTAGCTAAGATTGTAGGGAAGACTCTGCAGCCTGACATGCAGGTGGCTAATGGACAGGCTATTTCAGTAGCAATATAAAATAGAATACCATCTGTTTGAAATTCTGCATGTCCCATATGCTTAAATTGATATTGTGGGGAAAATGACCAGTATATCTGAGACTTTAAGTTCCATACTACATGTTTCCATTAACAATTCCATGTATCTAGAACATGGAATTGCAGATTTGGATCAATCCAGGATTAGAATTTCCTAGAGTTGGAGACCAAACAGTGCCCCAAGTTGTGCCAGAGGACCCAGAGCTGCCTCTGTAATTGAGTGTCATTTGTCATTTGAGAAAAGAATGGCGCTCAATAGAGAAAAAAATACTTATTCTAACCTTATAGTAACTATAGTTTATAAGTCACAGGGAAAGTTACCTGTATATTCTTTAACTTGAGAGTCAAAAGGATCGATTAACTGAAGATATGTAGGCACTTTACCCAGGGAGTATTTTTATGTACTAACATTGTGCAGTGAACTTCCTTACACCAGGGATGGCAGTGAGTGAAAGAGTCCCTGTATTTCCATGTGTTATACTTTCCAAAGGTTGCTACTGACTTTGAGTTTAACTCTTGTAATATAATTTTTCCTCCAAAGGAAAACCAACTCTACCAACAATCACAAAGATAAAAACTTGCGCCAGAGAAACACAAATTAAGTACTACTTATAATGTAAGTATGACCTTCTTTAGAAGTTTTAAAAATTATATTGAAATGAACGTGGCTCTGTTGACCTTGTTACAAATTCTTCAGTATTGGGTGTTATGCTGCAAGATCTTTTCGTTCATTTCAGAGCAGCTCAGACTGATGGAACCCATTATGTAGCAGCTGGAAAGGACCGTTTTTCAGCTGCATTGTTTCACATATTTATATAAACGCCATTTCAAAATATGTATGATGCTTCAAAATAACACTTTGCGCTACTGTTTACTTATATCTTTTAAAAGAGGTCAAGATTAAATTGTCATCTTGCGAGGTGGGATATTCCCAGAGGCCAGTTAGTCCCCCTCTGCTTCTGAGGGCAAGGCAAGACCCATAGCTAGGACAGCTGGCCCCAGTGCCTTCCTGTCCGGCACATGGAGATCAGAATTTCACACCGCATCCCTGAGCATGCTGTTTGAAACAAAGCCTTGTTTTATGTGGCACTTAGTTCTTAAGTTAGGCTTTTAATTTCCAAATACTCTTTTTTTTTTACAGATCTTTAGGTTCCTGAAACTGGTGGCAACATGACCTGCTAAATTTTCTGCTTGGACCTTTTTGGTTCTCTCCCATTTAAGTGAGCAACACCACGACGACTGTCTAAAGCATGCCTTATTTAGCCTCTCCTGTAAGGGTGACCTAGCAGGTACATTTCAAATAATGCTTCAGTGTAGAAGGTGTAAACTATTTTGGGCTTGATGTGCTGTGAATGTTGCTTCCTTTTCCTTTATTCAAGTATTTAAATAGAAGTGAAAAGGTCCTCTGAGGATCGGATCATGCATGCGCCATTTTTTACTTACTGCGACTGTTAATATGGCAAAATGCACTGCTGCCATCTAGTGATACATTTTTGTAAAGTACAGCAAAACCTACAAATAAATACAGTATATAAATATATATATTTATATTTTGGGGGGTGGGAGAAATACAAAATAAAATGCTTGTTTCAGTTTTAAGCTGCTGATATTCCTTATTGTATGTTGTCAGTTGAGGAAATTGTGCAGTTCTGGTACAAAAGATGAGTAATATAAACTGAAATCTGTAATTTTAAGGGCTTAACCTACGATTCTAATAAGAAGTTGGAATAGTCCACTGAATGGCATAATGAATTTCAGTATATATGTATGATTGCTTTTTAAGTGATTATTTTTCCGTTTGCTGAATCATGTAAATTCTTATATCTTTTTGCACTGATCTGTTGAACCTTATTGTACATTTAATTAAGGCAAACTTTTATAATTTATCTTTAGTTTTCAGTGACCTTGAAATATTCTAGCATGGTATTCTATGCAACTAGTTATACTTTGGGGTTAACACTGTATTTTTTCACATTGATTTAATGGTTGAGTGTAGATTTTTCTCACTCAATAGAGTTCTCTCACTCAGTATGTAACCGTAGATGCATGTACTCATGTTTTGTGTAATTGTTGATGTGCAATGATGTATAGAAAAGTGGATTCACCGGTTTTTAAAAATAAAACATTGATAAAAGATGTTTGGAATAATAGTCTTTATTCTAGTCTTAAGGAGGAAGCATTTTTCAATGATTTCAAGTTTCTTAGTTCTATATGTACACGGAGTGTTAATTTCTCAACCCTGTCAGTTTTTTTAGTTCCTTTTCTACCTCTTCCACAAATGCTGGGAAATTCTGATCCATGAGGCAGAAACGGAGAAAGGAGCCTAACTCTTCAGCATTCCACGCAGATTGTTTGTGGACAAGGGGCAGCTCCTCTGACGCCAGGAGAGACTATGGGGATTCCAGAAGAGTGGTTTATTAGAGATTACAGGCAAAAGCAACAGCATGAATAACAGAAAAACTGCCTTAAGGAAAGATTAGGGAAATACACACCAAAAATGAGTGTTAATTATAATTAGCTTTACAGGGTTCCTTTACTTAACGTTTCTTAATATACATAAGAAGTGAGATAAACTGGTATCCTTAGCTATATGAAGTATATTAATGACATGATTTGCAAATTTAAGACCCTGTTTTAATAAAGAATACTGTGCTGATAACCTTTTGTGGATTGATAAGAAACCTATCAGTGAATGAACTCCACTAGCTTAATTTGTCATTCCCACCTCACTTTGGGGGAATGGGTGAGAGCAGTTCATTTGAAAACAGGTTCTGAAGGTAATAAAGAGCGGCCACAAACTGACCGTCCAAAAGCCCCATGTCTCTTTCTGGTCCTGACCACAAGGGTGGACAAACTCAGAAAGGCATATAACTATGAGGGCAGTCAAGACACAGAACATTTCCATTACCCCTCCCCCCCCCCAAATCCCTTTTGGGGGAATGGGTGAGAGCAGTTCATTTGAAAACAGGTTCTGAAGGTAATAAAGAGCGGCCACAAACTGACCGTCCAAAAGCCCCATGTCTCTTTCTGGTCCTGACCACAAGGGTGGACAAACTCAGAAAGGCATATAACTATGAGGGCAGTCAAGACACAGAACATTTCCATTACCCCTCCCCCCCCCCAAATCCCTTCATGCTACTACCTTTGTTGTCAAACCCTTAGCCCCACCCCCCAGCAACCACTGATCTGTATTCTCCATACTTAGATAAATGAAATCATATCATGTTGAGCACTTTTTTATATGCCTATTTTCCATCTGTATATCTTTTTTGGTAACTTGCAGTGTTTTTAAACCAGTTGAGTAAATAGGTTGCTAACATTTAAATTAGGAGAGTTTAAATAAAAGTCCGACTGTACTTGGCAGTTTAGAAGATAGGGCACCACTGACCTGATGATGATGGCACCACCTTGGGGTCCACCTACATCTCCTTTCCTCCTCACACGAATTTTGTTAAGTAGGTGGTTTTATGCCTTTTCTATGGATGGGAAGGTTGGTGTGTATGCATCAGCTGACACTTCTCTAGGAACTATCTATAATAGAAATTTATTTTTCTAAATTGAAACTAGCTTTGCAGACTACCTGACAGTAGAAAGAAGAAAAATGAAAGTAACATGAAGACCTGTTCTCCAGGAAGAGCGACTGTTAGCATGTTAGCTTATCTCCTTCCATATTGTGTGTGAGTGTTTACTACAAAAATCAAGTCATACATGATGCTTTTGTAGCCTTTTAAAAAATGTACTATGAATATCTTTCCAATGTCAATAGGTAGGGATATTTATACATCAATTCTATCGACTGCATTTTTGTCACATCTGTGGTTATTTCACACTTTAACCACTCAGTATCCTGTAAGTGAACATTTATGTTGTTTCCAGTTTTGTTACTACAAGCAACACTGTGAACAGCATCCTTACATGTATGTTTGGGTAGCAGAAATATAATTATAGGTAATAGATATGGCATAAAATTTGATCTATATTGCTAAGTTGCTTTCCAAAAAGTTTTATCAACTTACATTCTTAGAAAGACTTGTCTAGAAGGTGAGAGCAAACAAGAAGCATATCTGAACTCCCACTTTTTCTGGTTTATACATGGTTCTTTTCTACTATGTAAATAAACTGGGATAAGGTTACACCTTTTATAGCAGGTGACATTTCCTAAATAAGGATATCACACCCTGCCTTGTTCCATGCGTTTTTGTGTCTCTACTGTCCTTAGCCACTTTGATTCAATTAACTATTAACCCCAATGCAAATATGAGGCTACAAACAGCACCGTGAAGTCTGCCCTGCTGCTGGACAAAGAGGCTTTTACATTTTCCTGTCAGACTACTAAAGTTTTTTATTCTATGGTTGTCCATTTATTTTGAATTAGTGGTAAGCCAGGTGGGAAAAAAACTCATATTTTCTTTTTTATACCACTTTTAGAACAGTTTGATACATTAAAAAGAAAACTCATCCTTGAATATTGACAAATTCCACGTAGAATTCTGTGAAAAGTGTAAGCTGTTGGCCTGAGAGCCTGCAGCTGGGACCGCAACTGGGACCGCAGTGAGCAGACAGTTCCCAGGGAGCTCCCAGCAGAGCACACACCAGGTAATGAGGCCAAGGAACAGGTTTAGGACTCTGGTCATAGTGAACTGCAAAGGGAGAGGGGAAGTGTGTGGGAAAAGTTGAATCCTGATTTCCACACATCCTAGCTGAAATCTTCACACTGAAAATTTATACAGAAATCATCAATGATTTGTCTACAAATTCATATTGATATTTGTCTTAAAACAGTTCCCAAAATTCTTCCCTTTATTCCTCTTTTTGGGAAAGTGGTAAATTCTTTATCACACATTTAAAGCCCAGCACTGTAGGCCACTCCTGTGTTTCCTTAGGAGAGCAGCTCTTCAGTATGCGCCATCATGGTAATCTCACAACAGGGTAGACAGACATGGCCTGGGTCTGTTTCTAACCTCTTCCATAGTAACACTTCAGGTTAGTGTTCTAGAACAAGGGAGTGGACAGAGGGATTCAAATGTTCAGGATCACTGTTTTCATGGCAAGAAAACTGAACATGGGAATAGGCTGTACCTGAGCTAACTGGGTCACTGAGGTCCTTCCTCCTGGGGCACACTGCTGCTGCTCCGCCCGCCGGTGTGACTGCAATGAGACAACTGCCAGCTTAGCTGAACACACTCATGAACACCACAGGCCATTAAAGAAGTGGAAACACATGAATTCATGTTCAGAGAAAAAAAATCAGGAGAAATCACTGTTGGTGTAGTTTGTCCTGCTTTCAGGTGGCTGCTACTTGACTTACCACAGTAAAGGTATATGCACAGAGTTTAAATCAGAGGCCCCTGCCCTGTACTTGGGGTTCCTCAGTTTCTGTCTGACACCACTGTGTTCTGTCTGCAGAAGCCCAGTCCGGGACCCAGGGCCACAGGCTGGTACTGGAAGGCAGTAGATGTTGCCCAGTTTTGGGTTATCATGATTTGTTACCTAATAATCATTACTCAAGTAATACATATTTGCTGCAGAAAAATTCCATAATTACAAGATAATGTTTTTTTTTTAATAAAACTGGGCTTAAAAAAAAATTTCATTTTAGACATTCTGAGGGAATGGGTTCTTAGACCCTGGTGATAAAGGGAAGGGAGCCACAAAGAACAAGGGAGTGGTCCAGCCCTTAAGAACCCCATGCCCATTGAGAACCTAACAAGAAAAACTGGTTAGAATGCAACCCAGGAATTGCTGGGCCTGAGGCAAAGGAGCCAAGCTTAGGACTTAAGCTCACAGTGGAGGGAGTGTAGAGGGGGTGTGCTGGGCTGAAGTGTAGGAATGTTCCAGAATGTGTGCCATTTCTTTAGGAGGCTATGATGTGAGGGGCAGTTCTTGGGTGGCACACCGGGACGTGCTCCAAGCAGACACCATGAACAAGATGGAGAAGGAGGCTGTAGGCATAACCAGCTGTGAGGGCTGCTTCCACCAAGAATGTACGAGAGCCCCTCCACTCCAACCTCCTAGCCACAGGTCTGCAGGTCTGGCTCTGGATCCTGTGGCTGTTGCAGTGCTCATCTCCAGACAGGTGTTCCCACCGCAGGTGTGAGCTGGTGGTGTCATAGAGAAAGCAAGGACCTCTCTGGAAGGCACCTCTGCCTATCACCAGCATGTTCTGGCTGCCAGAAGTCAGAGGTGCCAAATTTTGTTTCCTGTCCTGTAAGGAAGCTGACTGTTGCTAGTTGGTAGGTGTTAGTAGGAAAGTAGATCTGGAAGCATCAAGAACTTTGGAGGAACAGAGAGGAAGGAAAGAACAAATAGAAACTAAAGATCACTAAAATCAAAATGGAACAAAAAGTGAAGGGACTCAACGAACCAGGCATCTTTAGGCAAGCTACAAGGATCTGCACTCTGTTGAAGCGACCCGTGGCTTTCTCTTGCCTTCTCTGCAGCTGACTATCTTACCACGACCCTGTTGACTCAGTGCTGACCCTTGGTAACCAACCAGGATGCTAATGTGTTCATTTACAGAGGAAGGCAGATCTGAAAGGGAAGAGTACTAACAATAATAGTAATCATGGAAATGTTATTTAGATACTGACAGGTAGCATACTAGGTGCTTTCTATAGATAGAGCATTTCAACTCTCCCATTTTACAGATGAGGTTCAGTGACTTACATGAGATCAGATCACGCAGCTACGATTCAAACCTAGATTCATTTTTATTTCAAAACCTATAGTCTTTGCACAGCATCGTACTGTCATCTACTCAGATCACCAAACGATAGCTCAGAGGTCCCCGAATAGAGAATTGAGGAAATACATGAAATGGTTCCAGCCACTTTGGGGATGTTTCTACCTAGATATTTGGACCAGCCTTTAAAATCCGAGCCCCGGAGTCTCCTGCTGCTGGGGCTCACAGCCCAGCCTGCTTCTGTCACTGCATGTTACAGTGATGCTTTATCTTTATATTCAGACTAGAAGCCCGGTGCATGAAATTCATGTACGAGGGAGGGGTCGGTCCCTCAGCCTGGCCTGCAACAACGCCAGCATCCCTCACCCCGGCCTCTGGCCAGAGGCCCCTCCTCTCCCTCCGCACAGCTGGGGCGCAGACGCTGGGCTCATGTTACCAGGGCAATACCACCAGCGTCCTGCCCCAGCCGCTAGGGGTGCTGCCATCTTTGTCATGGAGTGATGGTTAATTTGCATATTACTCTTTTATTAGATAGTATAATTGTGTAGCCTGATTTGTCTTCATCACTTTTATAAGGCATTCCAGACCTAGTTCCCAAATTCTGGGACCCTATTTGGTTCCGGTTATAGCCCATGCACTGGGTACTGTAATCTGAATCTAATGACTGGTCAATGAAATCTATTGACACAAAAGGAAATCTATTTAAAGGGCAAGGGATCATAAGTAATAAAGCACTTGATAACAAACCACTCCATCCTACTTGTAGGGAGGGGATTCTTAACACAACAGGAGCTGATGAGGCACAATGTTTGAAACTAGATCCACGGTTTGTGAGAAAAGCAGTTTTAGCATTGACAACATCACAGAAAAGATCATGCAGAAACAAATAAAGGGAAAGAATTCTAAAACCAAAATCTGACTCAGTAAACTACATATCTGAGAGGGAGTCATACAGCACGTCCTTAAAGAAAAGGCTGACAAATGTTCACCCTAGATAAATTATGAATGATAAGGATTTAGTGATAAACCAGCAGAAATGAATTGTTTCAGTCCAGTGAGTCTAAGGGGAACTAACAGGATAAAGTTTTGGAAAGCCATGTTTGCAAAATTATTTCTCAAAGTAAGAAAAATACCCCAAGCTTGAAATTTCATCCCTAGAATAGAGGTAGATCTTATTCCAACAGCGTCTGGGACAGTGTTCTCCAGGGAGAAGCTCAAGCTTTCGATCACAAGATCACTTTACACACTTACTAGTAAAATCAGAGGCCCTCAAACAGCTTTTGTTTGAGTTACATCTAATGTTTATGTCAGCAATTAAAACAATTTTAAATATTGATTAACTTGTTTAAAAATAATGAATGCATTGTTTGTTAATATTAAAAACATTTAAATGAAAAAACTATTTCCTAAAACAAACTAATGATTTTTGCAAGCCTCATTAATGTCTAGCTCTGGAAGACAGCTGGACCTGCCTACGTCTGCTTTCAGTCTGCTGACACGTGTGTCTTTGGTTGCAGTACATGAAGAAAATCTGGCTTCACATAGATATGTAGATGGAAAAGGCAGACATGTTTTAAAATAGCCTTTTCAGGTAATTGTGGACATTCTTTAATATGACTAAAATTCAACAAGTGATAGTTTCTTAAAGGTTACTAGTAGTTGCAACACACAGTCTAAAATCACAGCAATGAGTTCTGTTATACTAAAACCCACTGATCTATCTTGCACTTAGAATAGATCCTTTACCCATGCGTGATTTTTTAGCACTATATGCATTTGGTCATTTGGAAAATACTGGTTCACTGAACTGTACAGTTCTTCCAAATGTTGAAGTACTTTGTCGTGCAATTATAAAAAGAAATCCCGTTAATAACAACAACAAAAATGTCTTCTGGGTTAGGAGCTGTGAAGCTCAAATAGCTAAGTTATCCAAGACTCGAATTTTCACCTGAAAAGCTTATTTTATCAGTTAATAAATACTATCAATTGTTTTCCTGAAATGACAGGCTCACTCTATTCATTTTTGAGAAAATGTCCACCATATACCCAGCAATGATGGTGTTCCCCTAAGAAAGGCTAGTTTACTCCCTGCACAGTCACACAAGTGCTGTCCCTTGAAACAGTGTCGTGCTTTAGGATGAACCCATCTGTGCGTGTTCTCACTGCCAGTGATGGGAGAGAATGTGGTGCAGTTAGGTACCACTGCCTGGATTTGTGCTAAGGTGACCACAGTTTTGCTCACAATACTTTTGTCCCATTAATGTAAATACTGGCAAAGTGAAAAGGGCAAATAATGTCTTAATATTATTACAAAAATAACTTGCACTTTGTGGATCCCCGAAAAGGTCTCAGGGAGGGATCTATGGACCACACTCTGATTACCAGTGTTCCAGAGTGACACCCAGAATGCAGCTGGGACCCCTCCCAGTCTAATTGCTAGGATTATAGGTAGCTACAATGAAAAATCAACCTTCGATTTAAATGTCACTCAACATTAGATATTTTTTAACCTGCAAACCTGATGGATTTGACAAATTCCACTGTCATTCTGGCCCCCAGAGAGTATGACCTGCCAGGTTTCTTGTACAGCCAACACCGTCCTACTTACTGGGTGCTGCAGCGGGATGCTTGGCACACAGCCCTCCCCGCCGCTTCCACCTGCTCTCAGTCGGCCAGGATCCCGGCTGTTCCCGCCCGGCACCTGCACGGTTATGTACTGGGCCAGGCTCTGCACACAGCTGCTGCAGTGCTCCAGTGCCTGCTGCTTGGACTCTCCACTGAACTGTACCCGGAACATGCGACTCTTGTTCTGTTTGACAAATAGAAAGTTATTCTAAGTGACCCTTGTCATATCACTGTACTTTCACTTACTGCAGGGACTTCTAGTGAGCGCTTCCCTTTGCTCAGAGGGAAAGAGGTACAGACAAGGGAGCATTCACCCTAGGTTGTTGATGTGGGTATAGAAAAGCTAATAACCAGTTGTCTGCCCACTTTTGGGAGCTGTTCCTCTTACTAAAATTCATTTCCTTCAGGAAACAGATATTAGTGAAAATGGAAAAGCCCATCTCATACAGACCAGGAGGTGACATACTGACTGCAGTAAAAGATCAATGTCTTATCTTACTTTGGAATAAAGATTAGATAGCTTTTAATTCCTGAAGTAAAAATCAGTGAAGATAATACAGCATATTCCTTCCTCAACAAAAATTTTTTTAAGCTGAGTATATAAAAGAACAAACCAGGTAAATGCCATGTTAAACAAGTCAATGAATCTGAAAAACAAGACTGGGGAATGGGACAGACAGACTGATGCTAAACGCTGATGTGTGCCATGTCCGTGATCTGTAGTATCCTTTATCTCTACAGAGGCCAGGTTCCTACCCGCAAACCACACAGAATCACATGTTGCCTTTAATCTGCTATATGACTTACATCCCTTGGCAAATAAGCAAATTTGAGAGAAATGCAATTAAAATTTTTTGAATCTGACAACTACATCAACTTTATTTGATTGTGAGCTAAAAAATTAGGCCTAACTGGTTTGGCTCGGTGGATAGAGCGTCAGCCTGCGGACTGAAGGGTCCCTGGTTCGATTCTGGTCAAGGGCATGTACCTTGGTTGTGGGCACATCCCCAGTGGGGAGTGTGCAGGAGGCAGCTGATCGATGTTTCTCTCTCATCGATGTTTCTGACTCTCCATCCCTCTCCCTTCCTCTCTGTAAAAAAATCAATAAAAAATATATTTTTTTAAAATTATAACAATAGCAACCACAAAAACCCATTATTTTAAGAGAAGTAGTTTCCTCTTTTCTAGTCTAATATTCTGCCCATTTTAGAGAAGTCAACTTGCATAAAAGTCACCCCAAATGGGATCGTCTGTATTGTGAACTTTTATTCAATTTCTTCTGGGAAGAAATTCAGATGCTAACTTAGTGACAACACTTTCCATTGATTAAATCCATAAATCACACTGCTAACTGGAAAATGTAACCACAATCAGCCAAATTCTGTAAATTCCTGTAAGCAAAAACCCCCTGATTCTCCACTTCACAATCCCACTATTTAAATGTTTAGATGAAGCCATGAAGCAAAGCCCTGTATTTAGGTTACAGAAAACCCTTGGCATGGTCAGCTGTCACATTCAGAATAGACCTGCAACCCCTTTACTGCCATTGCTGGGTTCTCTTCACTTTTTAATTCATGTAATTTCCCCCCTAAGTATAAAAGTAAGCTGTTAACCATTACCCCTCCAACAATGAAAAAATAGGAAAAAGAGACATTCCAATATATTCTAAGTGACCCTTGTCATATCACTTTTATTTACTGCAGGGTCTTCTAGTGAGTGCTTCCCTTTGCTTAGAGGGAAAGAGGTATGTATGGCTAAGGGAGCATTCACCCTAGATTATATTAGGGTATAATATATTAGAACATACACACACACACACATATATATATATTATACACAATATATATAGGTCATATATATAACATTTTACACTACTCTTTTGTAACCTAATTATTTCACAATAAGTATAAAAATAGAAGTATACTTCATTACTTTTAATGGCTAAAGAGTATTGCTTTAACTGACCTGCTATTGACAAACACTTTATTTCCTGCCCTTTTCCCTATTATACTATTATAAAATACAAGCTTTGATAAGCACTTTACACACACATCTTTGTACATGAATGCCTGGTGAAAGGATCCGTGCATTTGGGTGCCTTATGCCAAATTGCGTGGGGCAAGAAAGTACCAGTTACCCTCCTACCCTTAGAGTCCTTATGCCCATTTCCCTGCACTCTCCAACACCAGAGATTAGTATTCTTTTTAATTTTTTTAAAAAATATATTTTACTGATTTTTTACAGAGAGGAAGAGAGAGAGATAGAGAGTTAGAAACATCGATGAGAGAGAAACATCGATCAGCTGCCTCCTGCACACCCCCTACTGGGGATGTGCCCGCAACCAAGGTATATGCCCTTGACCGGAATCGAACCCGGGACCCTTCAGCCCGCAGGCCGATGCTCTATCCACTGAGCCAAACTGGTTACGGCTCTTTTTAATTTTTTTAACCTATTAGATTAACATAGATTTTTTATCTTGGAATGTCATTCCTCTGATTTCAGTGAGGGTGAAGATTCTTCTTACACTACAGTCATTTGTAATTTTTATTTCATCAGTGCCTCTCACTTCCTTGGTCACTTTTCTCTTAGATGGATAATCCCCAAATTATCAAGAGTAACAGAGAGAAACATCGATGTGAGAGTGACACATCGACTGGTTGCCTCCCACATGCACCCAGACTAGGGCTGGGGATTGAGCCTGCAATGGAGGTACATGCCCTTGACCGGCATCAAACCCGGGATCCTTCAGTCCGCAAGCTAAACCAAACCGCCCAGGGCTAGTCTCAGTTTCTATGCGATTAGCTCAAAGTTACTACTAGTATATGTTAAGTGGTGACTTACATGTTAAATGTTCTCACCCTACTTCAAACACTTAATTTCAAGTTATTACAACTAATAGAAAATCCTTTTTTATACAGACTCCTTAAAGAAACAGAAGTTAAGGATAAGTGCTTGTCTCTTCACACTATCTTGATGTACTCACAAGAAAGTCAGGTTTCCCCCAAATTCTGACTCTGCACATGGAGCCTGAAGCCACAGGCTGTACAGCTGACATTCCAGTCTCTGCACACGGAAGGCACAGGGCCCAGCTAGCACCACGCAGGAGGAGCCCCGGAGGCATCAGAGGCCTCAGTGGGGGTTTTCCCTCTGGTTTTAGGTTAGTCACTCAGATCTGTAAGTTTCCCATCACCACTAGAGCCCCAAATGGAAGCAGTTTCCCCACCTTGAGTAGTGAATTACTCTATTATAGGAAATGGAGGGCAGGGGAGAGAGAAAGGACTTAACCAGAAAAGGGACCTAAGCTTTTCTTTGATCCTTTGCTTTGAAACCAAAGCTAGACCAGACAAAATCATAAAAAAAAAAAATTCTTCAGAGAGTTAACTAGGGTGAGAAGTAAAGAGAACAATGGTTTGGGTTTATTCCTTTGAAACAAAGTCCCTTCAGAAAGGGTTTTATGACCCTGCTGGTGTGCTCAGTGGTTAGAATGTTGGCTTGTATACCGAAAGGTCTAGGGCTCAATTCCTGATCAAGGGCATATACCTGGGTTACAGGTTCTTCCTTGCCCTGCCTTGAGGGAGGCAACCCATTAATGTGTCTCTCACATTGATGCTTGTGTTTTTTTCTCTCTGTCTCTCCCCCTCCCTCCCTTTCATTCTCTCTAAAAATCAATGGAAAAAGGAATTATGTGTCAACTGTTAGCCAATCTGCCAGGACCATTCTGATAAAAATTCCTGGACAAAAGGAAGTACAAATAGGCAGAATTTATACAAACTATTTATTTCAGCCAGAGAGAAAAGAAATATAATCTTTATTATCATATCACAGGATTTATGTTATATTAAATTGTTGTTAAAAGATTGAAAATTTTATTTCAAAATACTTCTTTTGTCAATTTAAACAAACGTCATTTATTACAGAATACCTGGTGAACTAGAGTTACCCAAGGCAAGAAACACCAAAGATACATTTTGCGAGGTAAGGCAAAAAGAAGAATCTGTTGGTTCAACATTAATATACTAGAGGCCCAGTGCATGAAATTCGTGCACTTGGGGGGGGGTCCCTCAGCCTGGCCTGCGCCCTCTCGCAGTCTGGGAGCCCTCAGGGGATGTTCGACTGATGGCTTAGACCCACTCCCCATGGGAAGTGGGCCTAAGCCGGCAGGCAGATATCCTTAGCACTGCTGCGGAGGCGGGAGAGGCTCCCGCCACTGCCGCTGTGCTCGCCAGCAGTGAGCCCAGCTCAGGGCTAATGGGTGAGCAGCACTCCCCCTGTTGGAGAGCACTAACCACCAGGGGGCAGCTCCTGTGTTCAGCATCTGCCCCCTGGTGATCAGTGCACAACATAGCGACCGGTCATTCTGCCGTTCGGTCGATTTGCATATTAGCCTTTTATTATATAGGATAAAGTCAATAAACCAAAGTAAAAAACAATATCTTGATAGGTGTCCAAAAGCTTTGAATAAAATTTAATATGTAATCCTGATGAAAGTATTAGCAAATCCTATACAATAAAAGCCTAATATGCAAATTGACTGAATGGTGGAATGACTGGTGGAACGACCGGTCGCTATGATGCACACTGACCTCCAGGAGCCAGACACTCAATGCAGAAGCTGCCCCCAGCCCACAGGGCCTGACTGGCAGTGGCAGCAGGGGGTGGGTCCGGTGAGCGGTCGGCGCCAGGCCAGCCAAGGCGGGTGCCAGCAGGGGGGCCCCCTGATCACCCCGCCAGTCGCCCCACAGATGGGCCCTGATTGCCAGCCAGGCCTAGGGACCCTACCCGTGCATGAATTTCATGCACCAGACCTCTAGTAAACTATAACTGAAAGAATATCTCCCTTACATGGTAAAGAATATCCAAGCAACAGCAAGAAATGTTCTTAATGTCTAAATGTTTCTGCTCATTCAGGTCAGCAAGATGTCAAGGATGACACTAACCATATAACTACAGTGTTCTGGAAGGTCTAGGTAATTCAGTAAGGTGAGAAAAGTAATACGCATAAACTACTGGAAATAAAAAAATTATCATTGTAAATTATAAAATTACTTTTCTAGAAATTAATAAATTATCAGAGTTAATAAAAATTTAGTAAGGAAGCTAAATAATACAGAAAAAAATCCAATAATAAGCAGCTAGAAATATATCTGGGATAAAGAGTACCACTCATATAACACCAGGCAAAAATTTCCTAACCTTAAATATTTAAAAATCTATATATTATATGATATATACATAAATATTATGTAGAAAATTATTTAGCTGCACAAATTACATAAATATATATTTCTATGTAACATGTAATCTATACACATCCATAACATGCGATCTCCCTACAGATAGTATCTAAATACTCTGAAGAGGAAAGTTAGGCAAAAGCAGTAGGCAGGCGATTCACAGACGAGATATGGATAACTAACAGACACAAAAAAATGTTTATTCTCATTAGTTACCAAAGAAATGCAAATTAAAGGAACATGCTCAGTTTAGCCTATCAAATTGGAAACTGTATCACTCTATTAGAAAGGATTTGGATAAACAAGCATTCTTATAGACTAGAGGCCTGGTGCATGAAATTCATGCACAGGGGTGTGTGTGTGTGTCCCTCAGCCCAGCCTACACCCTCTCCAATCTGGGACATCCCTCTCATAATCCAGGACTGCTGGCTCCCAACTGCTCGCCTGCCTGCCTGCCTGATTGCCCCTGACCGTTTCTGCCTGCCAGCCTGATCACCCCCTAACCACTCCCCTTTCAGCCTGATCGATGCCTAACTGCTCCCCTGCCGGCCCGATCGATCCTAACTACCCTCCCCTGCCGGCCTGGTCACCCCTAACTGCCCTCCCCTGCAGGCCTGGTTACCCCTAACTGTCCTCCCCTGCAGGCCTGGTCGCCCCCAACTGCCCTCTCCTGCTGGCCCGGTCATCCCTAACTGCCCTCCCTTGCCAGCCTGGTCGCCCCTAACTGCCCTCCCCTGCTGGCCCGGTCACCCCTAACTGTCCTCCTTTGCCGGCCTGGTTGCCCCTAACTGTCCTCCCCTGCAGGCCTGGTCGCCCCTAACTGCCCTCTCTTGCTGGCCCGGTCGCCCCTAACTGTCCTCCTTTGCCGGCCTGGTCCCTCCCAACTGCCCTCCCCTGCTGGCCATCTTGTGTGTTGGAGTGATGGTCAATTTGCATATTACCTCTTTATTAGATAGGATTGCTACTGCTGTAGAAGTGGACAATTTATCTGGAGGGAAAATTTACTAAGTAAATATTCAAATTTCTAGGACTTCTATCTCAAGAACACTGTAAATAAATTCTTATGACAATCAAAACTTATTTATAACAGTGAAAAGTTAAGAATTTGTTAATTGAATCATGGTGCATCAAAACAAAAAGATGCTACGTAGCCATGAAAAATCATATTTTCAAAGACTAAAAAAAAATGACTTGGCATAATGCTTCTGATATGTTACATGACAAGAGAGCAGGATACAAAGCACTCTATATCCTATAATCCCAAATTTGTAAGTATCTACATGGCAGACACTGTTCAGTGCCATGAGCCAATCCACAGCTCAGGCTAGAAAAGCCAAACACTCATTTTACCATGTGGGATGGCCTGATTACAATGTTTTTTTCTGGTCCATGAGACAGAAGTAGACATCTCCTAGGGGTTGTGGGAGATAGAGAGCTATATAGGAAATGAACTGATGAAGTTGGCCTTCCTTGAATGGAAATGAAATAGAGCTGTAGTACCATTTTGCAAATGTGAGGGAGAGGCCAAGAGAATTGCAAAGATGTTGACCTTGGCACTGTGAAGTTGCTGGGCCAATGATAGCTAGCACTGCCTGTTTCTGGATTTCTTATTTAGCAATAATAATAATAATAATAAACCCCTATTTTGGGGGCCATTATACAGTGGGGCCTTGACTTACGAGTTTAATTCGTTCCGTGACAGAGCTCGTAATTCAAATTACTCGTATGTCAAATCAATTGTGAACGAGTGAGACATGTGATGCTGGGCTGATGTTGTGGAGTTCACTGTGACGTTCGCTGCGCCAACTAGCGGTGGGGTATCTGAAGCTGGCTCGTAACCCGAATTTTAGCTCACAACTCAAAGCAAAAAATCGGCTGAGAGATGGCTCGTATCTCGAAAAACTCGTTAGTCGGGACACTCGTAAGTCAAGGCCCCAATGTACCTGGATTTTCTGTCACATGTATCTGAATGCTGGTATAATACATATGCCTAGTAAAAGCTTCAAGATGTGAATATGATTGTTTTTTAATTACATTTATTTGGGTAATATTGGCTAGTGATAACATTATATAAGTTTCATGAGTACATTTTTAAAATATATCAGTATACTCTACTGTGTGCTCACCATCCGGAGTCTCATCTCCTGTCAGTATATATTTGACTCCCTCTACCCTCTTCATCCTCCCCCAACCCCCCTTACCCACTGATAACCAGCTTTTTGTTGTTAATATAATTATTATTTTTGACTGGTTAAATTACGGCTGGTTTTTATTTTGCTCTTTATAGTTAGTTAAAATTTAAATAATAATATATAATCAGGAAAAAATTAAACCTCAAGTATCAGACATATGGCATGGTGTAACTTTTTTAAAAAACATATACATTTATTCATCATGACACAATCCTTGGCTGGGAGTCAGTAGACTAATGGGTGGCCCCGTTCTCTGACAGTTGGTTATAACTGTGGCTGTGGCTAAGGTTGAATTCACTTTCCTCCTGTGTAAAAGGAAGTCAGGGGTTCATAAATTTGAATATGTGCTCCAGACCGCTTTGGCAATCTGGTGAGGCCAGCGGGCCCCTTCTTAGAACAATGTTTTTAATTACACAAAATACATAAGATTACAAAGAAAGCCAATTATACTGAAATGGTTTATTACAATATTAACATACTAATTTTTTGTGTGAACTAATAATACCTATGCTTTCTTATTAACATGCTCAATAAAAAGATCTTAGTCCTAGGATGAATAACCACCATAATTCTGAGGTAGTGATGAGCATAAATGACACGTCAGATATCATAATATCCAACTGTGATGGATATGAAAATATCTGTGATTTCTATTGGTGCAAAAGTCTAATACGACTGGGCTGCTGCCTACATTCATAATTGAAGGAAAAGTTAAATTTCAATTAGAGGTCAGTGGAAATCCATGCAGTTCGTGGACCCCTGGATTCTTTGAGGATCCTGTGGAGGACCTGTGTACTGCAGGGTGAGTCCTTTCTATTTAGATGCTCTTAAAGACCTCTTCCAACTTTCAGTTTATGAGCCATTAGAAATTAGGATCTTTCACCTAAATTTCAATATTATCTATTCAGTGAATGTTAATTAACAGATTGGTTTTTTTATAGCTATTTCAGAGAGAAAACAATCCAGGTGATTAGTCCACATGTTTCTTTGGTGAGGATTATTCTTTATGTTTAATAGAGGTAGAAAGCAAATAAAAAATGAATTTAATTTTTAATATTAAAGAGAAAAAAACGAAAAGATACATTCAGTGAAGCACTAAAAAATACACAACTTTTTGTTGTTGTTGTTAATCCTCACCTGAGGATATTTTTTCCATTACTTTTTACAGGGGGGGAGGGAGGGAAAGAGAAACATGGATGTGAAAGAGACACATTGATTGGTTGCCTCCCACACATGCCCCCACCAGGGCAGGATGGAATCTGCAACCCAGGTACGTGCCCTGACCAGGAATCAAAACTGCAACCCATCTGTGCCTGGCCTGACACTCTAACCACTGAGCCAAAAATACACAACTTTTTAACATCCAGTAAGGCAAACGATACAGTCCACTTCCCTTCGCATTGTGCTTGGGTGATGGAGCATGGCTGCCCAGCTTTCTCAGACAGATCTGTCAGAGCCCTGACTCCTCAGTAACATCCTCTTACTAACTGGCTTCTGCCTTTCTACAGTCCTTGTTTCATGTTCTGCTCATGATGCGAACCGTTCTTAAACATGTGTATTATTCCAGTACCATCTCGCCTGCTGTGAGAAACTCCCACATCCCCCATGTGCACATAGAAAATGAGAAGGGTGTGGTCATTTGCTTAAAAACAGTTGGCCACACAGTATCTTGCCTTTATCGTTGTTCCAAACAACAGACAATCCATGCGTCTCACAATCTTCAACCAGTTCTTGCTACCAATGAGTGAAAACCCTTCCTGAAACAAAACAATTAACAAAATTAGCAATAAAAGGGAAAAGGGATGTAAAGAGTAGCTGTAGTGCAGAAAGCTGTGTGGTTATTTATCTATAACTAGAGGCCCAGTGCATGAATTTGTGCACAGGTGGGGTCCCTCGGTCTGGCTGGCGATCGGGGCTGATAGGGGCTGCGGGAGGTTGGCCGGCCAGGGGGAGGGACCGTGGGAAGTTGGCTGCCAGGGGGAAGGACCGCAGGAGGTTGGCTGTGGGAGTGCACTGACCATCAGGGGGCAGCTCCTGCACTGAGCGTCTGCCCCCTGGTGGTCAGTGTTGTGTCATAGCGAATGGTCGACCGGTCGTTCCGTCGCTTAGGCTCTTATAAAAATATATAGATGTGTGCACAGAGATGGTATCCCAACTACCAGGATGATCTCCTGATACATATGTCCCCGTACCCCAGTGTTCTTCCTGCACAATCAACACGTATAGTCTCACCTTTTATTTCTTTTCTTGATCTTTCCATATTGAAAACAAACTATTAAAGATAGTAAATGTCTGTGGTCAGACTAGCTGTAAATACTCTTCTGTTCCTCTAGGATTTGCCAAAAGATGAGTTTATGTTCCTAAAAGCCAAGGATTTCCATTATGCTGATTTATTAACTTATCTGACACATCCTAACTACACAGTGAGTTTTCTCTTCATAAGAATCTTATTGTCAGATTCCTATAAACAGAAAGTTGAAGCAATTTGTTTTTAGATTAGATGCTGAGTGTTTACTTCAATCTGAGAAAAACAAACATAAAAGGCAAAGGGTAGTAGAGGGCACACAGGTCTCAAAAGCTGGACAACAGTTGGATCTTAACGGAAAGATGAACTTTTTCTGTAGCTTATTAATAAAGTAAATAGAATTGACTCTAATGATTATGGCAGCTAATGAACTTCAATTATGTTGTCAGAAGATTTCCTCAGTTAAGCAGGCTGTTAAGTTTGAATATGGTTAGCATTTAGTAAAACAAATACAATGACAGGAAACTGATACTCTGACAGTATGTAAAACCTGCACGCACACTGCCTTTCTACCAGGTAATGTCAGTCTACCCAGCCCAGGGACGGCTGCTGTAGAAACTCGGGAAATCTCTCAGTCTTGGAAAACAAAAGAAAATGTTGTCCTTTATCCATTGGAACCCTAACAAAATCTCCATTCCTAAATCTATGATAAAACTTTCATAAAAATTTATAGCCCAGGTAAACAGTGTAGGGTTAATACCTTGACATTTTCATTAGAAAGAAGAGTCAATTGTAAAGTGTTGACTCTAAGAGTTTCATCATCAATAGTTCGTTTTCTTCTTTTTTAAAAATAATTTTATAAAAAATATTTTTATTGATTTTGGAAAGGAAGGGAGAATGAGAGAGAGAGAAACATCAATGATGAGAAAGAATCATTGATTGGCTGCTCCTGCACACCCACTATTGGGAATGGAGCTTGCAACCCGGGCATGTGCCCGTGACCTGAATCGAACCCGGGAGTCTTCGGTATACAGGCCAATGCTCTATCCACTGAGCCAAATCAGCTAGGGTGACTTCTTATTTTTAATACACAATGAAGTTAGACAAACTATTTGTGATTTCTACTTAAAACTCTCTTGGAATTAGCAAAGAGAGATTTGGTCATCCTATATAATAAAAGCCTAATATGCTAAGTGTCCGGTCGTCTGTTCAACCAATCAAAGCGTAATATGCTAGTGATATGCTAAGGCCGTTCAACCACTTGCTATGATGTGCACTGTCCACCAGGGGCAGACAGTTGACCGTTTGACCAGTTGCTATGACGTGCACTGACCACCAGGGGGTAGATGCTCTGACCAGTAGGTTAGCTTGCTGCTGGGGTCCAGCTGACCGGGACTGAGTGAGACAGGCTGGATACGCCCTGGAGCCCTCCCGCAGTCCTTCCCCGGCTGGCCAACCTCTCGTGTCCCTCCCCGCCCCGATTGTGCATTGGTGGGGTCGCTCGGCCTGGCCTGTACCCTCTCGCAATCCAGGACCCCTTGGGGGATGTCAGAGAGCCAGTTTTGGCCTGATCCTGCAGGCCAGGCCGAGGGACCTCAATGGTGTGTGAATCGTGCACCAGGCCTCTAGTTATTATATAAAAAAACTGTAGATCTAGTTTAAAACGGCAGTACATAGGGAGTTGGCACTCAAACACCTTGCTGGGGCAGTGGAAATGGTACAGCTCTTATGGAGGGCAATTTGGCAATATCAAATGTACAAATGCATTTATTCTTTAGTACAGCAACCCCAATACTGGGAATTCATTCACAGATCAACCTGTATATGTATGAAGTGATGCATGGACTAGGTCAGTGATGGCGAACCTATTGAGCTCGGCGTGTCAGCATTCTGAAAAACCCTAACTTAACTCTGGTGCTGTGTCACATATAGAAATTTTTCTATATTTGCAACCATAGTAAAACAAAGACTTATGTTTTTGATATTTATTTTATATATTTAAATGCCATTTAACAAAGAAAAACCAACCAAAAAAATGAATTCGCGTGTCACCTCTGATACGCGTGTCATAGGTTCACCATCACTGGACTAGGTTAAATATTTCTGCATTTTTCATGGTAGAAGACTGAAAACAACTTAAGTATGCATCAATAGAGGACTGGTTAAACAAAGTATGGTACGCTATACAATGGAATACTATAAGACTGTAAAAAAATATGGATGCATTATATCAGCGCTGTCCAGTAAAAATTTGAGTCACATATGTAATTTTAAATATTCTAGTAGACACATGTTAAAAACAAAAAGTGATAAATTTTTAATATTTTATTTAACTTAATGGGTCAAACATTATTTCAACATGTAAACAATGTAAAATACTAATAAAATATTTAATGTAAACTAAGTCTATGAAATATGATGTGCATTTTAATCTCACACCATATCTTAATTCAGACACTGATTTTCCATGATTAAATTGAAATGTGTCATAAAAACAATAATGTTGAGTTTAATGGGAATATATTTTATACTGCTTCCATTTTAAAATCAAAATTTAAGAAGAACAAAGTAGGTGGGATCTCAATACCAGATATCAAGCTGTATTACAAAGCCACTGTTCTCAAAACTGCCTGGTACTGGCACAAGAACAGACATATAGATCAATGGAATAGAATAGAGAACCCAGAAATC